ACACATCATTGTAAAATCAATACATTCATCACTTCGTTCAGAATCTAAAAAATACATTTATCATGTATAAAAGTTAATATAAAGTTATATAATATATATATTGTTATGATAGCTGATTTGGACTTTAAACGCATATGACAGAAAATTGTGACAATATAATTTTGAGATTTAGAAATGATTGTAAGAACAACATAATAAGATATCTTGTATTAAATATTTAAGCTTCTTGATAGAAATATAATTTATCATCAAAAAATGAAATTATTAAAAAAAAACCAGAAATATTTTTTAAATATTATCACATTCAAATAATGCTAATAAAAATACTAGGTGAAAATTTCAAGTGTTTACTTATTAATTTTGAATTATGACTTTCATAAATTTTAATTTTTTGAAGTACCAGCTATAGTATACTAGATCCAATTTTCTACTAGAAAGAATACAATTACATACAAATTAAAACAAATGCATCTTTCATAATTAAATTATATATTTAAAAATATGTTAAATATGATTTACTGTTTTAGTTCATTGTTATCTTATGATACAACATTGCGGTGCAATTTCGTTGATTTATATTATACTTTATTTGGACGTCAAAAGATTTTACGCCCTGAAGTTGCTGCATTGTACAAGCCAATCAAAGTTGAAGTAGAGGTTAAATTTTTATTTTATTGATAAAATAATATTAATTATGTGTTTAATAATTAATTAATTAATATTTGTATATATTAGGCAAAATCATGTACTCTTCMAAATATTATTGTTGAACCAGATAATAATTCTGATAGTGAACGTGGTATCAAACGAGCAATAGATCACGAAGGAGAATTAGATGTTCCAGAAATTGTTGATCAGCTAAAAATTGAAAATGATAATTTAGAAAATGATTTTGGTGATAATTTACACTTTGATAAGAAAATTAAAGTAAAGTTGAATTTAAATTATAAAATTATAAAACTACTGGTTCATGACTATTCTTCACCAATTTCTTTGATTTAAATTATGTTTCAGGTTGATGTAAAAAAAGATAGTGAAGAGATAATTGATGAACATAAAGAAATCAACTTAGTTTCAACAATCAGGCCATCATTTGAATTGAGTGAGAACAAGTCTAAAACTGGTTATTTCTCTGAAAATTCTGCTTCCTTACCAGGAATCATGATATCCAATTCTACTGGGCCAGTTGGTTTTGAACCAGGAATGTTTAATGTAAAACCTGAAGATCAGTCCAATAAACCTGTAGTTGTACAAAGTGAAAATAAGCATCATCATCATCACCATCATCACCATCATCACCATCATAGTAAAATAGATGGAACCAGTAATTCTGTATGTTAATTTTTAAATTTTCATTTCTGACGAAATAATTAAATAACCAATTCATAATTATTTTAGAGTAAAAAAAAGAAGAAAGATAAAAAAAAACATAAACATAAGCATAAACACAAACATGAACACAAACATAAGCAAGATAAATTGAAGGAAAAAAGTAAAGAAGATAATATAATAATTAAAGTAAAAGAAGAAACTTTGACATCAGGAAGTTCTAGTAGTGATGATACATCTAGAGACTTGAGTGTATTTATTTAATTAATTTATAGAGAAATATATAATAATGTATATTTTTTTATATAGTTAATATTCATTTAAATTACTATGAATATATATATACCAAAATCTAAGTTATTAAAACTTCTGCTTAGTACATATATATAAATTATTTTTTATCATTACTATTAATTTAAATACTAAAGTTTTAATGAAAAACTTAAAAAAATTCTATAGGTTGAATATTCTATAGATTATAATTTATAACTTTACTAGTAATTATAAGTATCTTTGTCTATTAGCTTGTATTTATATTGTCGCTTTTTTTTTAATTTTTAAAGGAGTAAGCAATTAAAAATGTATAAAAATTTAAGAATTCAAATTAAGAAACAACTGCCCAACAGAATTTTTTAAATAAAATTCTGAATCAATTAAAAAATATGATGTTTTTATATTAATAAATTTTGGTGTTATATACTAAGCAACATATTTTTGAATATTATTTTAAGTTTTATTTTAGATTAATATTAATATGATGAGTTAGTGGTCTTAAAAACTAGTACATTAACTACATAATATAACAAAGATTCAAAAATGTGATTTTTAAGGCCAAAAAGCAAATTAAATAGAATTTATTTAAAACTTTATTTTTTATTTTTTCACCGACGGCAAAAATTTAATAATTACTCATAGTCCTAAAATAAACATAACCAGCATATATATTATTGTTTGAAATCTTATAACTCATAAACATCCTAACCCGACTTATACATATTTAAAGAATACAGAATACAATTAGCAAAGTATCATATATTAATTTCTACTAATAAATTAAGAATGTTGATTTTTATTAATAAATAACATTTTGTGAAAGGGGTATATTATAAATTATTATTTTACAGACTGCTGAAAAGATCTATGATTTGTGCATAACATATTTTTAAATTTAAAATAAGCCATAATAAAAAATAAGTTGAACAATTTTATTTTAACCTTTTAAATGAGTCAAATAAAGAATACTAAATTTGGATTGGGCATCCTGTAGTTCCACCGATAGAGTTTATGTAGTAATTCAAGCAATTTAGAACCAATAAAATATAATTTTCATCTTTATGATTATTATCAAATACATCAACTTTTTGTATCTAGCGATGGGATGTGAAATCATTAGCTTAATAAGTATAATCATCACGTGGTCTATGAGTGAAAAAATGTTTACTGATCCTAAACAGCTAAATACGTCAGCCAACGCATCTGGAAGAAAAATGGACATATCAACTAAATAAATTATTCTTTTTTTTATGATTTGCATAATTAAATATAATTATCATTAGGGCTCGGGTTTTAAAGCAAAAAAATTGTATAAAAATCGGGGTAAGTATGTTACTGAAATTTTTTACGAGGCCCCTCTTATGGTTTTGCCGACTTTATTTAAACCATTAAATTCACCACTGGTAATACATTTATTTTATTAAAATGGAACTATAAAAATAGTGATAGATAGTATAATACATTAAACAATAACTAATTATATAATTTAAAAATGTGCAAAGCCAAAAAACTTAAAATAATTTAGTAGCATTGCTTTCTAATGTTGTGGCTAACTGCCATTAAATAATATAATATACTTATTTCATTATTATTAATTTGCACACATACTTTTCTCAAGTGGTTTTCAGTTAACTGTTTTGTACCAAGTTTTGTATTTGCATAATCTCCTAAATTACTTAACACCAATATTGCTTGGTCCACAGCAACTTCCATTTTAATTTTTTTAGTTAAATTCCAAATTGTAAGATGCCTATTAGCACAGAGTTTTGAAATTGGTCATTCCAACTTTCTGTGTTATTGTTGGTGCGATGCCCACCTTTTAATATTAATTCAAGTACAATACATTCCACGTAGATGGTGGACATATGGAAGGTTATTATTGGAGTCTGCAATAAAATATTATATAATATTTTCATAATTTTTAAGATAAAATAAAATTTCAATTACTTTTATTACTAGGTACCTATATACTTTAATGTCTTACATTTCAAATGTGTATTTACTCACTATACTAATAGTTTGAAATATTTGGTGTATTATTTTATGAAATATATTATTTAAAAGTATTAAATGAATAGTATGTATCATTTTTATAGTTATATAATATAGTTATTTGTCAAAAAAAGTGTTTGGTACATAATTATATTGAAATATAGGTATATTGTAAAATGTACACCATAACAAAAGTGTTACGTGTTTAGAAGGTACTTGTCTCTTTTTCATACCGTATTTACTATTTTGATATCGGTGCTTTTTTTCCCGAATACTCAGCCAACTGATTTATATAGAATTCAAATTCACCGCGTACTATTTAGTCGGAGGCAGGTCAGCTGATCGCTATCAGATAACGAGTTGTGCGCATGACATTTTCTTTTCTTTTCTTTTTATTATTATTATTATTGAGCTCACAGATGTTCTAATGGCTGTTTTACATTCAATATTATTGGCTCATTTCTACCTTGTCAGGATTAATTCGTCATAATCAAAAGTCAGAGTGTATATTAATATTTTGGCTCTACGATTTTTCCCATCAACTGTTCGTGTCCGCGTGTCGTGGTTCCCAGCAATCTGTTTTCGTGAACTGCACTAACCACCTTCGATCACCCGAATTCCCGAGGATCCCGATCAATCAAAGTACAACCCGGACGGACTTGTCTGGTCTCGCTCCAGTAACTAGTAAGTAAGACGCAATAATCGTATAATGAGCTGAAGCATCCAAACAAAGGATTGTTGGGGACCCCACTTGCATTTCTATTTTCAATTTGTCTACAATTCTGACGTTTTTATATCGATACTCCGAATCATATACATTTTTTTTAAACGGCTTATTATTTGTTTACGCGAAAGTTTTCACGATTTCTATCAGACTGGTGAAACAATTGATTTATGATTACTGACCCAAACGGACAACGGTTTCTTGCGCCCATAATTTGTGTCATTATTATTCCATTATGTTTTGCGCATGTATGGCTTGCCTACATACCAATTATTGAGTAATATTCGATTTATATTAGTCCTTGAGCCTAAGTTTAATTTCAAATAATAATTTTGTGTCCCAATTGAGATCGGGTGGTTGAATTTAAAATTTAATAGTATAAATAGATTGTTTTTTTTTTTTTTTTACCAAATTATCCATTATTTATTTTTATTGATTTGAAACTTAAATACCTAGATAAAGTCTACATATTTTTCTTATTAAATTATAGATAGGTATTATTTTTAAGTACATTATTATCAAAAACATGTTCTATGACATGTGTATCAATCAAGTTAGTTAAATATTATTTACCAACTTGTATTACTTATATTTTAATCAATAAATATTTAAAATATTTTATATCTAGAATAAAATAATAACAAAAATGGTTGCTTAAAATTATTTTATTGAACTCCATACTCAAACTGAAATGTAAAAATTACTTTTATTAAACTACTGAATTAATTAGAGGTACTTTCAAAAAAATAATACAGGTAATTATTATTAAACAGACTTGGCTTGAAACGTCTTGAATTTGCATATTTCTTGGAAGGCTACATATTAAAAATCTGATTACAAGAACCCATTTCATAAGATTTTTAAGTTAAATCAAATAATGTACATTATTGCGTACCCATTTTTGCATATTTTATCAAATTGAATGGATTTTGCAAACTAGAATAGTGATATGAATACTAGATATTTATTTCAAAATATTTTTGAAAAACCTTATTTATGTGATTATCATTCTCAATCCTTTAGCTGAAAAGCAATGTTCTGATGTAGTGAATGTTATCGGCTACTTATTTCCATTAAAAAAAATTTGGAAATATTTTTTTGTTCACATTTTCTTTTATATAATTGAAGTTAATTTTATAATCTATCACTTTTGAACAGCGGCATTTTACTTTTGAGATCATTATCGTCAATGTTTAATAAAAGCTTATGATCTTTATCATAGGCCATATAAATTTAAAAAAAAAATTTTAAATGAAATAATTTTTTCTTAATAAAGAAAATAAGAATTACAGTTAATTTTTTGAGGATTTATTCATATTTTAGGAAACAATAGAATGATTTATTGAGAGACTTACCCAGTTGTGCTTATGTTAATACAGCTAAGTACCATTAATACAGGGTGTCCCTCAAGGATTTACCCATTGCGATATCTATCGAAATAATGAAGATGTCAAAATTCTGGTTTTGTAATAAGACTCACAGGGATAAGAACTAAAATTATTTCATATTTTAATGTTTTGGTAAAACATCTAAAAAATATATTTTTTTATTTAATTATTTTCAAAAAAATCAAAAATAGCTATATTGTAATTTATTTTTCTGCAAATATTAACATTTCAAAATTGTATTTTCTTTAATTTCGAGAAAAAGTGAAGTGTTATCAAACAAGTGACCTGGCGCATTGTGCTCGTACTGCCGGCTGAATGCTTTCAGTGTGCTAGTTACTAACCTAACCTAATCATGTTATATTTCTTTAAAACTAGAAAAAAATATCAAAAATCAGGAAATTAATGAAAATAACATTTTGAAATGTCAATATTTACCGAAAAAAAACTAAAAATGGCCATCTTTAATTTTTTTGGAAATAATTAAATAAAAAATGTATTTTTTAAATTTTTTCTGAAACATTGAAATGAATTAAAATATGAAGTAATTGTAGTTACTATCCATGTCAGTGGCGTGGCGAACTTCATTAAGTTATGAAGCACAGTTATATTGTCAGACCAACCACCCACTCCACCCATCACAAAAAACATTTAAAAAAATTTTTAAGATAAAATATATTTATTCATTTAAATAATAATGATTTTTTAACACATCAGATGATCTTTAAGGACACCCATCACCTCTCAAACTGAGGCACGTGCCTCAAATATAGTCCTTTGTCACGCCACTGATCCATGTGAGTCTTATTACAAAACCAGAATTTTTATATCTCCATTATTTCGGTAGATATTGCAATGGGTAAATCAGCGCGGTACACCTTGTATATCCATTTGATTTCAAATATCATGTTATCCGATACATTTATGCCATAAATTCAGTATTTACCTATATTTAAATTCTGTATATTTAATACTTGTTTATTTATTACAAAAATGATTGATAAATGTTTAAATACTTTTGTTTAAAATTTACTACCACTAAAATCTTTCTCTTCTTCTATCTAATAACCAAAAGAAAAATGATTTATTTATATAAAAACATATTAAACCTTGTTATATAATAGGTAATTATAATATTGATAGTTAATAAAATAAAAATATTCAATGTACAAATATGTATGATAATTGTTGTATTATTTTTATTAAATTCAATACAAAGTGACTTATTCAATTTACCTACCTACTAAAACTTTTTTAGATACAAACATAGATTAAATTAAAACATTAGACTTCTTAATGTTTTATTTTAACTATAGTATAATTCTGTAATTAATTAATAGATGGGTATCACAGTGTACCTAAAATATAAATATATTTTTCAGTAAACTTGGTATACACTTCTGCCAACTGCTATGTCTTCACCTAGTGCTGGTAAGCGCCGTATGGACACAGATGTCATAAAACTGATAGAAAGCAAGCATGAGGTTACTCTTTTAAACGGCTTGAATGAGTTTTGTGTTAAACTCTATGGACCACGTGGTACTCCATACGAAGGTGGCTTATGGAAAGTTCGCGTTCATCTTCCCGAACATTATCCATTTAAATCTCCTTCAATTGGCTTTATTAATAAAATTTACCATCCAAACATTGATGAAGTATCTGGTACTGTTTGCCTTGATGTTATCAACCAAGCTTGGACTGCTTTATATGATCTGCTTAATATTTTTGAGTCATTTCTACCCCAGCTGCTTGCCTACCCAAATCCAATAGATCCATTAAATGGTGATGCGGCAGCTTTGTATTTGCATAAACCTGAACAATATAAAAAGCGTGTTGAAGAATATGTAAAAAAATATGCTACAGAAGAAGCTCTCAAAGATGATGGAAATGCTGGTTCGGATAGCGATGAATCATCTATGTCGGAGTTTAGTGAAAGTGAAGCACAAGACATGGAGCTATAGCCATCATTTTTAACTAAAATTAATTAATAATTATAAATATTATTATGTATCCAGTTTTTTTGTTTGTTTTCACTAATTTACTTAAGTTTTAGTTAAAATTAAGTAGATATTGGTAGGTTTTTTTATGTTGATCACATTTTTACTATACTTGGAGAATTAATCGTGTAGATATTTTTATTAAAGACAAACAATTAATTAAATTTGTGATATTCATAGAAGGAAATACAATAATAATAATAGTAATACGTCAAACTTTAAACCCATTTTTTATTAGATTTACACATGTCTATAGGACAGAAAATTCTTGAAATTTATGTGCTTGGCTCTGTTGTACAATCTTGTAATATTTATTATGAAAGCTATATCTATATAAATACTTTTAAATATATTTATAGATATAATCAAAAAATTTAGAGCTTAATTTTAAAAGTCAACTTGCTCTCTTAGGCAAGTACTTCTGCCTTATTGTACCAAATATTGTTAATGTGGTTTAATCAATTTTTAAAATTCACAATGCTGTTTGTATGAACCATATCTTAAGAATAACTCTATCATATTTTGTAAATTGTGGTTTAATTTAGTAATATTTTATTAATGGTCTACATAAAAACTATATTAATATTATCTCAAAACAGAATATGTTTAACCTAAAAATTACCTATTTTATATTTTTCTTATTTTTGAAATAAAATATATATCATCTATCAACTTTTATCACATTTTAATAGAAAACCAACATTAGTAAACTAATTAATCTTAATTATAGAGCACATAATTTTCCAAAGTTTGTATATCCTAATAAAGAAAATATGTATATTCATGTTTAAAACAAATTTACAATGTATTGGAATTTCACCTTAAGATAATGGGTGTAAAGGTGACGTAATTACAATTAATTTTTAAAAATAATTTGTGCCACAATGGTGAAAGTATACCATGTAGCCTTAAGACTCTTGGATTTTCATAGAAATATTGTTGCTCTGTTATCATATATAGTTTTATATAATATCTTCACAGGTTTCTATGTTATTAAATGCAGTGTTATGGTGTTTAAAAGTTATCTTTCTGTTCTAATAAGTAACTGGCGATTGCTTAGATTAATAAATATTTGTAAAAATTCATTCGTACTATAATAAAGCAAGTATATAAAAATTGTAATTTGAAAACATATTAATTAACTATCAAACAGTTAATTTTTTTTTTTTTGTTGCTATTTGTGACCATGCAATTTATATTTTTTCTCATTAAATAAGAGTTTAAAAGAATATAATTTTTTTTTCTTAAAAAATCCCCTGATCTCAATATATTTTAGGTTTTATTTTGAGTGTAACATTCTGTTATTAAATCTCCACACAACTTTTGTAATGCCAATTATATACTACAGATAAAGTAATATTAAAAAAAAAATTAAAATGATTAACCTTAGATTCAAATTATATAGGCGTATAGTAAGATTTGATTAAGCCATTTATTAATGCACTATGGATATTTTTTTTATGTATTTAAATTGCTTTATAGCTTTATTTTTCCTTAATAAGTTAAGTTTTATCTTGTTGTTTTTCATTACAAAATAAATATATATTATATATTATTCATCATTATAAATTTAATATATATATATATATATATATATATATATATATAATTAAATAAGTATATTATGTGATTTTATTGTATATGCAATTTTTAGATGGATGACTGTAGCAATAATATTAGTAGATATCAAGAAGAGACTACTGACCCAGTTCAATTAAATGAACACGATCAGGCTATTCTCGTCAAACAAAATTCACGGATGGTTTCATCATTCAAAGCACAAGAAATTGAAAAAAATTCAAAAAAACATTGGGATATTTTTTATAAGAATAACGGAAACCGTTTCTTCAAAGATAGGCACTGGACCACTAGAGAGTTTTCTGAATTGATTGGAGATGACGTTCATAAAAAACATATATTAGAAATTGGATGTGGGGTTGGAAATCTTATATATCCACTTCTTGCAGATGGATTGAATGCTATGTTTTATGCATGTGATTTTTCGCCAAGAGCTATTGAATGCTTGAAATCAAATCCTTCTTATGATCCATCATTCATTAATGCATTTAATTGTGATATTGTTACGGACGAATTGATCACCAGAATACCTGAAAACAGTTTGGATTTGGTCACTGCCATATTTGTATTGTCAGCTATTCATCCAGACAATCATCAAACAGTTATATCAAATATTTACAAAGTCTTGAAATATGGAGGACTATTATTATTTCGAGACTATGGAATTTATGACATGGCACAATTAAGATTCAAGCCAGGACACAAAATAGCAGACAATTTTTACATGCGTCAAGATGGTACTAGGTGAATATTAATTTTTATGCATATAATTATAAAATATTTATCTATGTGTATGTAATTGTTGCAGATCATATTTTTTTTCAATTGAATATTTTAAAAATCTAATGGAAACTAATGGGTTTGTAGAATGTTCTAATAAGTATGTGTGTAAAAGGACAGTTAATATAAAAGAAGATGTTGATGTACCAAGGCGATTTATTCAAGCTACTTTTTCCAAGCAAGTGTCTACAGATGTCTAATAACTGCTGTCTGACTAACATATTTGAATATATTATGAAACTTTACGATTGGTTATTATATTCATACAATTTAGCTTAAAAATATATCCTGATTATTAAAACCAAAAAAAGTATTTGAGAATATATTTTATTAAATAATTATCAGTCTAAGACTAACATAATTATAATATGTCGTATATGTGTAAAATACTAAAATGTAATAATGCAGTCTTTACAAAATTACCAAATAATATGTGTTCTCTTATATGGTTTATTTCATTTTATTTAAATATAGGTGCTGTGTAAAATCTTGCACCTTGTTTTCTAAAAAAAATTCTATTTTTATTGTAGTTTTATTTTCAGAGTGTTTATTTGAAAGTAATATTTTAACAGCATAAATATATATGAATTTAAATTTCAAAAATTTATTTGTATTGTAAAACTGTTAACTTTAAATTAAGATTACTCTTTTAAAATAAATTAATTATAAGCTATTATTACATAGGTTTATAGATCTATAGCCAATGACTTGTGGTAACTATAATAATATGTTGGTATACTATCACAATTATCATTGTAATTTTATTTTTAGCAGTAATAGAGATATGTATAAGATTTTTTTCAAATTACATTTGCGGCAATAAAGATTTATATTATGTATAAAAACAGTGTTTGTTTGTATTTGTCTTATCAGGTTATACTTAAATACATTTAATAATACTACTTAATTGGTACATTATATTTTTTAATAAACATATATTATATTATATTATACATTTAATATAATAATAAGTATTATATTATATTGAACTATTTGTAATTGCATTAAAGCTTAAAAAGTATTTTTTTTTTAAATCTGATAATTTAAATGTTTACCAAAATAAATTTGAATTACTTAAGAAAAAAAAAAACAGCAATAGTTTGATTTAAAATGTTTTAATATTAATTCAAACAATCCTTTCATGAATTTATTTACATTTTATACTTAATAGTTAATATAAATTATTGATTGACTGTTTATTTTAGAAACATTTTTCTAGAATTAATATAATATTACATTTTAGTTTAATAAATAATTTTATAATTTAATTGATTAAATATAATTATATTATCATTTTATTCATTTTTTACCAAATTTTTTTCAAATTAACATTATGTATATGATATTGTAAAATTTATAGTCTATTTAGTATAATTATATATATTATATATTATATATATAATTATATTATCATTTTATATATTTATTATTTTATTATTTAATACTTCATTTTTCTAAATTAAATTTAAACTAATAAACGGCAACTTGCTGAATAACTTTTTCCTTCTTTATATAAGTTGCATGTTGGATTATTTTAATAGTGATTTAAGTATGAAATTTTGAGAGACAATAGTGACTGATTATTTTTAAAATATTTTTGTTAATCGTAGTTGAATAAAATTGTTTTAAAGATGATAATAAAGGTTTCAGCTTATAAAAGCACCAACATATAAATTAAGAAGTAGTTCATCCTAGTGTGGAGTACTATAATACTTGAAAATAATGGGTTAATCGTTAAATATTTTAATAATAAAATAATAAAATTAATATAGTCTCAGGCCACCCCAAATTTTCCCAACACAAAATTCTCTACATCAACTAATAGTAAAATTGACTCGGGTTAAATTGTAATGAGCATCGAGTGGTTGTGTATAGGAATTATTTTCAGCATAGGCAGCTTTTAAAGTAGGTTCCATGGTATGCAAAGTCCTCCCTACCCTACTAGAAACTGGTGTAAGACTGTGACCTACAAGTGAACAAGATCAAGTTAGTTCCTCAATACTAAAAATATAATCTAAACAATTTTTGAACACAAGTTATATTCTGACAACATAGCGAATTGACACCTGAATCATGGTCGTCTGACTCCACATATTGTATTTTATCAATGAACAATCACTGTATCACTGTACTTTACAGTTTACGAGTGTATTTACTATTTATTCAYGAGGGACATATTATTTGATCATAAATATTAAATAGGATAACTATCATATTTGTTCACTCATTGTAATCAGTAAATGAGATGATTCAAAATGTTTAAAATGTGAATATGTGATG